ATTTGTCACCGCAAATAAAGACTGGTGATGGATGTCATTGTTTGATTTCAATAAAAACCTTTGTTTTTGTCATCTTCTTTTTTCTTTTGTTTAATGTAATGTAACAATACTAGATACATATATAAATCTTGCAACGCACAGACTATAAAATTCCGGTTATGATATATGTTGGTGTGTTTAATGATTGATACGATGAGTAATTATCCAGGCGTTTATAGTTCAATTTATGCAACTTTAAAGATTGCATATATCATTTGTATATATTATACGGAACATTATCATTTTCCTTGAATCTATTTGTTTATTAATTTCATTTAGAGTTTGTAATGGAAATATCTTATCATTATTTCAAGTTAAGGGTATACTTGCACATTTTATTAATTATAAGTGACAAAGTGTCCATCTATATTCAATACATACTTATATTGCATGGAGACAAGCTTAACCATGATAATTATTCCCTTGACAATATAATTATATAGGTGATTGGTAGCAAAAATCCTAATTCAACGTGACGTAATACAATATAGAACCATATAAATATATCTCCTAAATTTGTTAATTAAAAGATATAAACATACATTTTGGTAGTGATGTCAGTGGAGCGGGTCAAATAGGAGATCTGCCCCATCCTTGCCCTAATCTCCCCGCTCCTTGGGGCAGGGACGGGTTCTAGTTTGGCGGGTGATGGGGCGGGGATAGGGATCAAAACCATACCCGCCATGGGTGAAGGGGCGGGGGTGGATATTAGGTTGTACCTGCCTCATCCCCGCCCCGCCCACCCCTCCCCACTTCGTACCCGCCCCATCCCCACCCCATACCCACGTCTATATATTTTAAAAAAAAAAATTGTTTACTTTTATATTTTTTTGTATTAAAAATATTATGTAAAATAAAAGTAGTAAATATAATAAATTCTAGTATACATATATTAAAAAAAAAAGGTGTAATATTAACAATGAATTTTTTATTCTAATCTATGTTATGCAGTATTGTTGAATTTGTAAGGGGGGATTAGGCGGGTCTTGGGTGGGGATTAGGTGGGGGTGAATATCCAAGTGGGGGATGATTTTGGAATTGTATCCGCTGGGGCGAAGATGGGGATGAATTTTGGACTCGTCGTGGGAATGGGGATGAGCTGAGTATGTTAGGCGGGGATAAGGATAGGAAAGCCAACATCCGTCCCGCCCCGCCCGATTGACATCCCTACATTTTGGAGCATTGAACAGGCCACATACATGACTATAGTCAAATCATAACACAAATGTTTTATTAATATTCGATCGAGCAATAATTAATAACATAAGCAATAATGGACAATAATAGAGCATAAAACATATTCATGGGCCTCAAACATCAACTTAATTAACCTTTTGGTTGTATTGATCCTTTAACATGGTATCAGAGCTAACGTGACACAAAGGTCACGGGTTCAAATCTCATCCACCCCCACTTTCAAGTGAAATATTTCGCGCTAGATATGGGAAGGGCTCATGATGCATCAACACTTCAAGCCCAACAAATTCTCGTGTGAGAGGGCGAGACAGAGTATAAAACATATTTTTGGAACTCAACCATTAACTTAATCCTTTGGTTGAGTTAGTCCATCTAAATGTAAGTATGTATATGGCTAAATTAAATTTTTTTTGCTACCATGCCCCTTTATAATATAGAGGAATTATTTATATTATTATCAATTGGTTTTAGTATCCGTGAGTCTTATTTTTAAACCGAATACTACTACTCCTTGATGATGGTATAATCCCATTCAAACATGGAGGCTTAAATCAAAGAGTCATCTTTTAGGATATAGTTGATAAATATGGTTGATCGTATTCATGAGTCATGCAGTATATATATATCCAAATATGTCACCCCCTCAAAATGGGAGGGGAATTCGGGGAAGTTTTGAGTAAGGGAAATATGTACAAACATGACACGACGCATGCATGGACGGCATGGCATAAGCTGGAATTTGTTTTAGCTAGTAATTGTTATAAATTAAAACTACTAATCAAGAATCAAGAGTCAAATTATGACAATAATAAAGGTAGTATTTTTGTTGACTTCCCTATATTTAAAATATTATAAGCAGTTTTTTTTCATTAAAAAAGTTTATCTTTTCGGTCACAAAATATTTTCAAGATTTGAAAGTTCATGCTTATTTGATCAGTTCGTAGGTAACCATATATTTTGATTACCTATAGTAATTGTTTATTTTCAGGTTTTATAAGTTGGAATATAGGGAATAATTTACTACAGAATATAAACTACCAAGTAGTACTTATCATTTTTATTATAAAAAATTTTCTAGGTTTAATAAATTTTGGTACAAACCCATTTCACTAGGTAGATTCCGAAATAAACTTTCTTAAGTGAAAATATTTTATAAGTTCTATGCTTGTATTAGCTTTGAAAATTTCATAAGTTCATATGGCATGGAAAATAATCTTCATCCTACTCCTTTTGTTCTCCATAACACTTACCCTAATAAGACCCACAACTGCTAAAGTGAACCCTCTTTTCTTAAGCTCAACTTGTGACTACTCAAAGGGAAACTATACTAAAAATAGTCCCTACTATTCAAATCTCTTACATACCTTTGCTAATCTTAGCTCCCTCTCCGCTTTCAATACTTTCTCCAACTTCACTTCAGGCTCGGGTGAGGATGCCACAAACAAAATTTACGCCTTATATGACTGTCGGCTTGACCTCACACTCCAAACATGCCAGGATTGCGTTAAAGATGCCGGAATAGAGCTGTTGCAGAGTTGCCCGTCGAAAGAGGCCATAGCAATATATGCGGTATGTAATATATAAAACATTATGTTGGTGTTTATAGCCATAGTTGTGTAAAGGTTTTTTTTTTTTTATTTTTTTTTAACACAGAATAAGAAACCAATTGCAATTGAAAATTTAGGACGAATTCAACCTAACTCATTTTAATTTTACTAATAATAGATATGAAATACACAATATTGTATATGAGGTATGTTAATTTTTAACAATATACTCGTATAATACTTCATATTTGTTCAATTTTGTTGCACGGACACTGTATATAATACTTCATTCATTCTATTTTAATTTGAAAATACGGTAGTTGACATTTTCATGCATGTCAATGTACATTCTATAAAATTAATATCTATAATTATATAATTTTTTTCTAGTGACGTGGAGTGCATGTATTATCACTTATTCTTTTGTGATACATCCCTAGGGTAGGGTACTACCGTACTAGAGTATATGTTAAGAAACATGCAATGTGATATTTGATCAATTTAAAAGGTGTAGGGTTTGTCTTCGTTCATTATAATCTTCAAGGAATTATGTAATGATTTTTTCATATATTGATATGGATGGTAATTCACATTTCAATGTTAAGTGACGATCTCATTAGTTTTAAAGCAATTTCATTATTCTCTATGGTAGGAGTGCATGTTACGGTATGCAAACCGTCCGATTGTTGCCATGATGGAGCTAACGCCCCCTCAAATTATATGTGGGGTTGGGTTACTATGGCTGACGAAGGTGTGCTGAATCGGACGATTAAGCCGATCTTCAAAGGGTTGATAGAAGAAGCCACATCAGAAAATTCATCGCGGTACTTTGCCACTGGAGAAGGGAGTTACTTTGAATACCAGAAGGTATATTGTTTGGTGCAATGTACTCCTGATATTAGTAGGGATCAATGCAAGATGTGTCTAATAAAATGCCTTGAATTATACGCTTAATTGCGCGAATGGTAGCCAATTACTAAGCGTATCTAATGTGCCAAGATGTGTCTAATGCGCGAATGGTAGTACGTACACAATAAAAAGTACTACTAGCCATGTTCTTATCACAAACATAAAATGATCGATTGAGAAAGTTAAGGAGACATTATACTTTTCTCAAAGCTTATTTCATAGAGGCGTATGTACCATGCATGGTACATACGTTTAATTAAGAAAAAGCAGAATAAACATATTATAAAATGTAATGAACATTTTGTTACAGTGAAAAGAACATACTATTAAAACGTAATGAACATATACATAGAGTGAAAAGAACATACTATTAAAATATAATGAACATATACCTAGAGTAAAAACAACATACTGTTAAATAATGTACTTTATCTCCATGTTCTTTGATTGTTTGTATAATGTACTTTTATTTATGACATAATGTTCATTGTTTATTTTGAAATATTTTTTGAATTTTGTCTATAGATTATGGTGGTTGAATAAAAATAATGTTCATTACATTATATTATCATGTTCTTTATTAATATTACGGATGTTCTTTAGATATACAAAAATAACATAAAGCTAAGTGTTCTTTATAAAACAGCTATATGTTCTTTACAAAACAGCTATATGTTAACTACAAAACAACTATATGTTCATTGCGCCTTATTTAAAAAAAAAATAATTAAAATTCTGTATGCACCATGCCTCCAAGAAGAAAATTTCACACTTTTCTTGCCTTTAGAGTCGGTTCAATTTGGTAATTACCTCAATATTATGTTTACCAAATAATTAGTGAGTGCTTCTGTTGAAGATAAAAATAATCGAATACGGCAGGCCAGGGTATTCGTATACGGCTACGTGTGGTCCGTTGAAGATAATAAAATCCTAATTATTTAGGAATATTCCATCTATGTTATTACATACTACAATATTTTAATTTATTTTATGGAAGATTATTATGATATAGAATTCAGTTGTACCGTCTATTTTTTATTTTCCTCAGGATGGAATTTATAAATTATTCATGAAACTATTATAATCAGAAGAAATCTAATAGTTATTGTCATAATCACTCTTGCATTATAGAATCAAGTTGGAGTTTAGTTGGGATAATTTAAGTATTGTTTTTGCACATGGTTGGAATGTGGTACATTTCAATTCCTAGGTCAAACTTATTTGAATCGAAGTTACATCCCTCCCACTTCAAACCAATAATGAAATAGCTAATAATATAAATATTTTTTTATACATATTTTGATGATACTTAAATGTACAAGATCAACATGCATCCTTTTTTGCTTGTTAAATATGATGCTAAGCACCCTAAGACCTGGAAATATTAAACACGAACCAACGACCTTTAGATTTAAACGCGAACCATGGTTTCATCACCTTTTCATGGCTTCCACATAATATGTTGGTTCCTTCTTATTTTCACTTTCTGTCTTAAATGTGTTTCTTCAACTACTGAGGCGACTAAGGAGTTTGTGAGAAATGATTACATATGCGACGATACCATGGGCACCTACACCAGTAATAGTACTTTTAGTTCAAACCTTAAACTTGCATTTTCCAATCTCACTACCCTCTCTTCTTCACGCATCTTCTCCAACGTCACGATCGGATCTGATGAGGCTGACAAAGTCTACGCCCTCTATGACTGTCGGAATGATATTTCTCTAGATAAGTGTCACCGCTGCATTGAGGACGCCATCGAGAGTATTCTAGATCTTTGCAATGCCCAACCTAAAGAGGCCATTGTCATGTATGAGGTAATGAAAAGTGTAATCGTTCATGTATATACTTTATGCAGATTTCCATTCCGTTTATATGAAATCATATAGAATGACAATAATTATAAGAATTTTTTGTAAGAAATTACCTAATAAAACCTAGATTTTGTGAGAAACTATCTAGTAAAAGGTACAGAGTAAAATATTTAAATGCTGGACAATTTTACAATGGCTACAATAATATTGTAGCCATTGTAATCTTTCAATCTCAACCTTTAAAATTTGGTATTAAATCTTAACCATTCAAAGTTGACACTTTTTCTTTTTTTAATATACAATTAGTAAAAATTACGGTAGTTTTTTTTTTCTTGAAATAAAATTAGTGATAATCATAGATCGATTACTTTTAAGAAAAGCCTAAAATTATTTTCCCCTATCCTTTCCTCCATTGATATACGGTTTCATTCCGAATCTCGACTTTAGTATGATGTATTTTTGGTGATATTTTGTTTTGCGGGATAGAAGATATAGAGTAGTTAATTGTGGAGGATAAAATATCTAATATTCCTATTCTCAATGAAAATGCAAAGTTAAGTATGTTCATTTTCTACTATACAATTAATGGAGATTGAGAGATTTGCCAGGTAAATGAAAGTAAAAAACTGCTTGTTTTGGCGATTTTTTTTTTTTTTTTGCTTAATTATTTTTTAGTCAAATAAATAAATGAACAAGATTTATCCTTAAAATTTTAATGGTTGAGATTTAAAACATTTACAATGGCTACATACTACCTTAGGCCATTATCACGTGTTAGGGAGTTTTTCATAGAATCTGAGTTTTTATTATGTAATTTCCGATAAAAAAATCCAAAAAATGTTATTTCATTCTTAACAACCAATTTCATGATGCATTATTATTATTATTATTATTATTATTATTATTACTAGTTCTATAATACAGTGAAATCATTATATGGAAGAAGAGATCGAGTGACTAACCATTCTAAGGATAAATTTATAAATTCGATATTATAATTTTTTTTTGGTGAAGGAATTTGATAATATAATGTAGTCTATTAATTTGAATTTCCATTACATTTGCTCTCTTTTAACCAGGAATGCATGTTACGCTATGCAAACCGCATGATCTTCTCAACTATGGAGCTCACCCCAAACTATACGAATTGCGACATGGTCTATTATACCAACCGTAATATCAAAGAGGCTGTCAAGTCAACCCTCGAATCACTAGTCGACGAAGCAACCAAGGAAAGTAAATCATCGAGTTACTTTGCATCTAAGCCTATGATTCGTATAGTGGATAGGTACTTCTACTTTTTGGTGCAGTGTACACCAGATCTAAGCAGGGTGCAATGCAAGGAATGTTTGACGAATGCTTTAAATTTCACGGTCGAATCGTGTGCGAGTGATAACCGATTAGGAGGTCATATTACGGCGCCAAGTTGCGAAATGAGATATGAAGATAAACTTTTCTTTAATGTATCGTCGTTTAACCATAATTATACTCCGCGTCCAGTGAAGTCCATGTCTACACTTACTATGATTCTCTTAATAGGTTCTTGTGTTGTACTTGTGGTGTTAGTTAAGATGTGTTTGCAAAAGATCTTAAATTGGTGTAGAGAAAGAACAAGGTTTTGAGTGAAGTCTTAAGTGAGAAGAGGGATCTTTCAGGGAAGATCTCAAGATGCAACTATTAGAGGGAATAGTTGTAGGGAGTATGAGTTCAATTTGTTGAGGAACTCGATAGAGGCTCAAGTTCCTCATAGGTTGTAATAGAGTAGTTGGCCTATTTTAATGGAATGTTTTGAGTCAAAATTCCTTGTGGACGAGGTTTTTCACTTTCTATTAGGCCCAAGAAGTTTTCCTCGTAAAATCTCTCTTGCACTATTTCTCTCCTTGCGTTAAGTTTATTTTAATCTCGCAAAAAGTACGTGACTAGCAAGCTCAATACTACAATTCACTCCCATCTTGCAGTATTTCATCTAAGTAACAGTTCAAGATTAGATAATGAGACTCTTTGTATCCTGTTCGAATGCTAGCTTAGCCTGATCGATGTGCCAAGCTTCACCTATGAGTACGTAGATAAGACGGGTGATGGAGTTCAACGACGCCTCATGTCAATGATGAAAAGCTTTGTTTTTTTTTTTTTTTTTCCTCATCTTTTAATTTTGTTTAATGTAAGGATATTTTTTGTTTTTTTTAATCAATAAATAATGTAATAATAATTTAATACTAAACGTGTTTAATTTTCTTAAAACAATTGTGTCGATTGTGCAAGAAACAACCGACGACAGTGGCACCATCCTAGTTGTTTGCGCTCTGAAAATGGTATATTTGAGGACTCATCAATGTCGTTTTGCTGTATATATATGAAGGAGGATAAAGAACGAAGTATAAAGTAAAATGTAAAAAATATTATTATATTGCTGGCTTGCTATTACAACTGCATACACAGCTTGGTCCTCCCACACCAATAAAGTGTTGGCTCATTTAATAAGGTTATTACATCAGATTCTAAAAGTCAGGGGTTTGAACCCTACTAATATTTACCAAAGGAGGTTATTATTTGGGGGCCGGGTAGAGATCCTTTACACTTGCCTCTACTTCCTTGTGGCTGGCCTACAAATATTGCCATCAAGGTTGAGGTCTAGTCAGGAACCTCCTTTCTATAAAAAATAAATAAATAAAAATTGATCCTCCAAACAAAGTATGTGCAAGACTGCAAGTATGAAAATTTTAAGGCTGTCATCAAGTATGGTTTTCAAGCTTAAATGATTAAATTACAGACTAAAGCATATACCCTCTATCCCTTCATAATTTTATCCTTTTAACTTGTATCCAAAACTCGTTACGTAAAACATAAATATTCACAATTTTGTATGTTTTAAAATTATAATTTATTATCGATATTCTAACAATAGACATATTAAACATAACTAACAAGCAGAATCTCTCAAAACACTACAGAGTATATATTTTATTAATTTGACATTAGTGAGAACTCTTATTCTTAATTTTTTAAAGCTTGACCCAACAAAATGCAATGGAGCAAATTTCAAAAGATGGAGACTGGAGAGTACTATGTATAAAATGTTAAATACTAGATACATGGTGATTGATGCGTAAATATTTTGTATAAAGCACTTAAGCACATACTCCACGTACCTTATTATTGGCCACTAATATTTTCTTAATTGTGATCATATTTACTATGGAGTACTATCCAAAAAAATATATATATATATATATATATATATATATATATATATATATATATATATATATAATATAATATAATATAATAAAATACAAACTGGATCATATTTATGCAAATAAGATTTAATATGCAAGGAAGAGCTCGTCAAAAAAAAAAAAAAAAAAAATGCAAGGAAGATATAGGAAACTTTCTACTGACCATAACATTATAAGGGACAGGTGAAACAAAGTGTATGGAAGACGACGTATGAACTATGAAACATGATTCTTGCACCACCAACTAGGAGCTGAGTCAATCGAATATTAATCATAATATCTTTTTAAGGTAAGAACCTTGACTATACCTCAACTCTCACATTATCACTGCCTAGGAGAAGTACTACTAGCCATATTCTATTATAATATTTGATAAAGTGATGGAGACATTATACTTTCCCTGCCATTTGGATTTGGTTTAATTTGGTAATGACTTCAATTTAAATTAATTTAATGATTTGTAGGCTAGATTATGAAGGACACTATTAATTAATAATAATGTACTACGTATTATGGATACCAAATATACAGCGAGTGCTTTCATTAACCTTTAGCTATAAACAAACATGTAATGGAATACGGCAGGCCAGGGTATATCGCATATGTGTGGTCCGTTGAATATAATAAAATCATATTTAATTAAGCATATTCCATTTATGTTAATACTACAATATTGTAATGCATTTTAGGGGAGATTATGATACGTAATTTGAGTTGTATACACCCTGTTTTCTTTTCTCCGGAGACTTTCAAATGAGGGCGGGGTTTAGTCGTTTAGAAATTATTCATGAAACTATTATAATTATGCCGAATTTAATTAATTAGTGTTATAATCATTCTTGCACTAAAGAATCAAGTCATAATTGGAGTTTAATTTAGATAATTTTAGTATTGATTTTGCTGATGATGGGAAAGAGGTATGTTTCCTTGGTCAAATATATTTGAATATAATCGAAGTTATTACTTCCTTGCCACTTCAAAACAATAATGAAATAGCTAATATATAATAGAAAATTACAAATATCTTTATATTTGATAATACCTAAATGTACTACGTCAACATCAAACACGAACCATTGACCTTTAGATTTGTATACCTTCCCAAAATCAAATACGAACCATGGTATCGTCAAGCTTTCATGGCTTCCAAATAACATTTTGTTTCCTCTTTATTTTCACTTTCGGGCTTTATTGTGTTTCTTCGACTACTCAAGCTATTGATGAGGAGTTTGTGAGAAATGATTGGGAATGCGACGATACCAAGGGCACCTATACTAGTAATGGTACTTTTAGTTTAAACCTTAAACTTGCATTTTCGAATCTCACGGCCCTCTCTTCTTCACACATTTTCTCCAACGTGACGTTCGGATCAGATGACGATGAGGCTAACAAAGTCTACGCCCTTTATGACTGCCGGAATGATATTCCCCTTGATAAATGTCACCGCTGCATTGACGACGCCATCGAGAGTATTCTAGATCTTTGCAATGTTCAACCCAAAGAGGCTATTGTCATATATGAGGTAATAATTGTGTAATCATTCATGTATACAATTTTTGCAGATTTCCAATATTCTAGATGATTTAATTTGATGATATAAATATATAATGACGTCTGATCTATTAATTTTAACCAGGAATGCATGTGTTGTGCGACAGCGGAAGCAAAGGTCGTAAACAAACAAGAAAACAATAAAGAAATTCAATGCAAACAATAAGAACAACACCAAGAATTTACGTGGTTCACTATCGATGTGATAGCTACGTCCACGGGCACCGAGATCGAATGATTTCACTATAAACTGCAAAGATTACAAAGATGATTCTTGTATTTCTCAAGAACGGCTCTCACTCTGTCTCTCTTTTTAACCCTAATACTGATATTAGGGAGGTTTTATATTAATCCCTAATTAAAAGATACTTGGGCAAAAAGATAATAAAATAAGATAACCTAAAACCGCAAAATCCGCGTTCCGTATTTTTCCTTCACCGCCCGGTCAGACCGGGCAAGGTCTGCCCGATCGGGCGCGAGAAGAAAACTCCATACGAATGCTTCAACGTATCCAACCCCCACCGCCCGGTCAAACCGGGCAAGGTCTGCCCGATCGGGCGAAGGCTCGCCCGGTCGGGCGCGAGAGCAGCTTCTTCAACGAATTTGCCAGGCACCTCTTCTTCTTCCGCCCGGTCAGACCGGGCAATGTCCGCCCGATCGGGCGGACAAAGCTACGAAGTACGAGTCACCTAATATACTTATCAACAATCTCCACCTTGACGAGAACTCGTAGTCAGCAAACGACCCCATCAAGACATAGTGAAAAAACATCTCAAGCCAAACCCGATGCAAGACTCATGCATAAGCCATACATCCCGATAAGTCTTCAACCAAGACCCATCACATACTCGTCTCCAAGTATAACAACTCATAATGCTCCACCTGCATCACAAGCCCCGGGCAAGCTCCACCTTAAGGCCAACACACCTACACCAGGAGCTCCCCAACTTCGCCCCTCAGGGCCTACTACATCACGTAGTAATCAATATTTAGCAAGTCTAAGCAATGTTTAAACTTGCTAAACGGAACAGGCTTAGTGAAGAAATCAGCCGGGTTGTCAGCAGTCCCAATCTTCTTCACCTTAATCCTCTTGTCAGTACGTAAGAAATGATACCTGACATCAATGTGCTTCGTCCGATCATGGTGTACTTGATCTTTAGCTAAGCAAATCGCACTTAGACTATCACAATACACTGTAGCAAAATCCTGTGCAATACCCAGTTCACCTACTAGGCCTTTGAGCCAAATAGACTCCTTAGCTGCAGAAGTTAGAGCCATATACTCAGCTTCAGTAGTTGACAACGTAACTGATGACTGCAATGTAGACTTCCAACTAACCACAGAACCACCCAAAGTGAACACATAACCAGTCACAGACCTCCTGGTATCCACATCAGCTGCATAATCAGAATCACTGTACCCAGTGACCAAGCATTCCTTATCATTCCCGTACACAAGACCAATATCAGCTGTCCCTCTCAGGTAGCGAAAAATCCTTTTCACCCCTTGCCAGTGTTCCCTCCCAGGTCGAGCCATAAACCTGCTTACAACACTAACAGCATGCGCAATATCCGGCCTAGTACAGACCATAGCATACATCAAACAACCAACCGCGTTTGCATATGGAACTCTAGACATATAAGACAACTCCTCCTCTGATTGAGGTGACATAGACAAAGACAACTTACAACTAACAGTAGTTGGCGTACTTATAGGCTTCGATTTTTCCATCCCAAAACGAGACAGAATCTTTTCAATGTAGCTTTTCTGAGTCAAGAAAAGCTTACCTCTAGCCCGATCCCTGTAGATCTCCATACCCAAAATCTTCCTAGCTGCACCCAAGTCTTTCATGTCAAACTCCGAGTTAAGCATCTCCTTTAATCTAGCAATATCAGATTTATTCTTTGTGGCAACCAACATGTCATCAACATATAACAAAAGATAAATCATGGAACCATTATCCAGCTTACTATGATACACACAGCAATCATATGAATTCCTGTCAAAACCTTGTGAAACCATAAAAGAATCAAACCTTTTGTACCACTGTCGGGGGGATTGCTTAAGTCCATACAATGACTTTAGCAATCTGCAGGCATAGTGTTCCTTTCCAGGAGCTTCGAATCCTTCGGGCTGCTTCATCAGAATCTCCTCCTCCAAATCGCCATGAAGGAAGGCCGTTTTAACATCCAACTGCTCCAGCTCAAGATCAAAATGTGCTACAATTGACAATAACACACGGATAGAAGTATGTCGAACCACAGGTGAGAATATCTCAACAAAGTCAACCCCTTCTACCTGACTGAACCCCTTAGCAACTAGCCTAGCCTTAAAACGTATTT